TAAAGGCCGCTCCGCGTATGTAGCCCCTGAATCCAAGTCACTATCGGTCTGCGTCACAGCCTGTCAAATCCAAGACTGACTCATGTGTAGTCGAGTGAGTTGTGTCATGAGTCATGAGTGTTGGTGCTGGAGTATGACAACAGTGGAGCCGTGCTGAACATTCTAATGCAGAGTAGGAGGGTGTTTTCCCGACAAATTTAATAAGAGCTAGAGTTTTATTGCACTTACGCTGAACTCTGCACAGCAGTGCTCCGAGATTAATGCTAATGACAGCATGAGGGTAATGAATGTGTGTACTAAAACGTGCGCAACAAACTAGTGGGTGGCCCAACAGAACAACAGACAGAATTGCCGTGCCTTTAAAGGAGCCGCGCCGCTGCCAGACTTGTTGGCTTCAACCAAAGAGCATTGCACCTTTGTCACCTGACCTGTCGTCTCCTCGTCTTCAAACTCCCACCGTCGGACCGTTCCTCAGTGATCATCTTTCCCCTCCCCCCTTCCATCAGCACACAGACTCAGTGATCATCTTTCCCCTCCCCCCTGCCCCCTTCCATCAGGACACAGGGGATGGATTCCAGTTCCTCTGTTGTGTTTGTCATCCAGGAAAGCTGCTACCTGGTGACCCAGAATGCCTCGCTCCACCCGCTATCGTTTTCACCATCGCCAAAGCATTTGCATGAGGATGACCAATCCAGGAGCAGGTCATTCAGTGTATCATGTGGCTTCTTATGTATTTTTTGCACTGATCTAAATTCAGTCAGTGTTTTCTTTTCCTCTCTCTCAGCTGAGGAAATAATAATGATATCATAAAGTGTCATTTGAGGATTGCAGCTCATGTTCACATTATTACCACCACAGATGTAACTGGCACTTTTTTACAACAAAGAGAAATGTTTTTTTTACGTATTCGTTTTCCCCGTCACTTTGAGCCACTGTTAATTATCCAGATTTCTTTTTAACAAAAAAAAAAAAATAAATAAAGACAAAATTGTGGTTGAGTAACCCATTAGTCAGTCTGCATCAAACAGGAATGAATTGGTTTTATACTTTTGTACCATTACTGGAATGATGGAAACAGAGAATCTTAGACTCAGATTAAGAATGCAGCTGGGCACAGATGTGAGAAATGTTCTAATTTAGCAAAGTCTTCATGGGGACTGTTTGTGAAGGGGATAATAAGAGGTGTAAACAGCCACAGGGTTCAGACAAGTGGACACAGCTGCCGATCTGAAAATATGAGTGAAGATGAATCTGGTGACCGTGGTCAGAAATCTACAGCCTTTATTGTTCAAGTGGCCGGCTCTGAGAACGGAGAACATGATCCGCTGCCTTGGCCAGAGCGGTGACTCTTCACCTGGCAGGAGCTGAGCAGCAGCGGTGCAGAGGTTCAGAGAAAGTACAGAATGTGAATAAGTGTGTCCATAGTCCTCCATGCCAGGTTTACAGTGCAGAGATTGTTAATGAGCCAGTGTTCAATGTGTTATCAGGGAGAGGAGGCAGGGAGATAATGGGATTGCTGTAGGTGATTGCTGTATGCAGGAGTCACGACAGGGCTGCAGTCGTAAAAGCTCCGGTTCAAAGTGTTCCTCCTTTAATGCCCTGCATTCATCTGCGGAAAAAAAATGAGGAGTGGCCGCTTGGCAGAGGAACAAAATTCAATAAATTCAGTATACCGGTGAAAAATTATGCTGTAGGATGTGTTTGCTGTCCTTCGATTTAAAACGGCACAGGGGTCGTCATTTAGGGAAAATGAATCTCCTTTCAAAACAACTCCATTTTCTGTTAATAGTTTATCTCACATACAGAAGATTCCTCTGAATTACAGATCACTTAAGCCACGTTTCTGCTGCAGGAACCGATACTACGACTAGGAGGAGTAAAGTACCAACCTCCCTTTACACCGAGGACCATGTCATACTGGGTCTGTGCAGTTAAAAAACAGTCTATTAATGTTCTGAAATAGCACCAGCGTCAGAGATAAGATGATTTCCTGATAGGGTTAGTTATACTTTAAATAGCAAAAAAAAAATTTTTTTCACAATTTATTGGTTAGTTATACTTTAAATAGCAAAAAATATATATTTTTTCACAATTTATTGTGTAAAGACACGTGAAATATGTTTGATGTTTAAAAGGAAGTGAAGTGAGGTTTGAAATCTGCCATAAGGACATTTTAAAATGTCTTAAATTTAACATAATTTGAAAGAAAATACTTTATTGTCTCCAGTATTTTTAAATATGTGAATATGTATTGTTATATGTTCAGATTTTTAAATATATATGTAAAAAAAATATTACTAACCACTAACAGTAGCAGATATATCCTTATGTTTACAACGTAACATAAGACTGACACTTGATACGCATGGATTCATAATAGTAATGAATAGTATAGGTTTATTTTTTTAATTTATATTTTGTTACAAAATCTCAATCATCTAAAATCCCCAATGTCCAATGGTCAGGAACCTCTTACCACTGAAACATCCAATAGTCACTACAGACTTTTAAGTCCTTCACTCAGTGGCACTTTGTGCCGGTGTTAATAACATTTGGCAGCCATAAAGTACCAATTTGTGTGCAGGAACTGGTACCTGGCGTCTGCAGAGTACCAATTTGTGGTCATTAATCACTAATTAATGACCACATTTCTTTTGTCTTTTTTTTTTTCTAATCCATGAATCTGTAACTGTTCTTTTGACGGCACACTGGTCAGGAAGGTGTAACATCAGGCCTCACCCTGTTTCCTCGAACCCTTAAAACATAAAACAATCGCTTCTACTGCAGTAAAATCCAAAATAATCTCGCTTCCTTTAATTGTTATATGTTTCTAAATAGGAAGTGGCCTTGGAAATGTCCGTTCATGCAGCCAAATAATCAGTCTATGTATTAAAACACTAATGAGCTTTTTTTTAGCTTTTCTTTTAGATTCAAAGAACTAATTCCCATCACTTTTCTCCAACTCCTACTGTCCACATATTCAAACTATTCCTTTAAATCACTGTTGTTCATAAAAAGTATATTTTCACTATATTTCTCAACACTGTGCTATAATTAAAAAGTATACATTAAAAATAAAATAATTTGACGTGCTGCCCTGCCCTGCAATATATCCGCGCCCCCCACTTTGGGAACCACTGCATTAAGAAATGGCCGTTTGAACGCTTTATGATTGTGTATAAAAGATAAAAAAAACCCACAGCACGGTAATTAATAATTGTATTTATATCAATGTCAGAGTTTTTCTTCCCAGCCTTCACCTGCTGCAGCTCATCTGCTGTACACGTCAAAACATTGATGTGATCCATGCCGACCGAGTGCGTCCCTCAGTCTGTCACTGAGTGACTGGGAATGGCTGCCATGTCACAGGTGTGATGCTAAAAAATGTCAAAATCTAGGAGACAGATGGTAGCCGTGCACACACACACACACACACACACACACACTTTTAATACCCCCAAAGGGACATTGATCTATTGTGCAACTCAGATGGGCATCACTGCCTGCTGTCAGTCTTCCACCCACCACACACACATATTGAGACAGGTCTCTTTTTTTTGGTAAAATTGTAGACTTTTAAATTCTAACATTTAATTCTCGCCACTTGAGTTGAACATTGGCCATTATTTTACGTAATTCCAAAGAAGCTCTTTTTGCCAAATTGAACAGATTACATTTTGGAACATGCCATTGTCAATTAGCTGAAATGTTTCCCCAGTCGTAGTTTATGACACACAGACACACAGTAAATCTGCGTAGTAGCTGAGCAGATGTTGAGAAGAGCCCAGAGCCGTTATAGAGGCAGGGAAAAACACAGTGAATATTACTTTATTGTTACTGTCTGCATGTTATATAAGAACGATAAAAGTTAATTTGATATGAAGCTCCCCGACGAGAGTGAAAAATGATAAGGCAGAAAAATTAATATGAGATATTATGCACCATTGATTTCATTTGATATTCACATATTAGTTTGTTTAGTTTAGTTTTACACACACGTTTTAACCATGGTGTATTACATGGTGTATTTAAATCTTATTGGCAGGTCCTTGAATTAAACACTTGCAGGCGTTTGTAGCCTTCTACGGCTCAGTCCATGGTCTCCTGACATTTCCACCCAGACAGAAATCTGACTGCAGTCTCTCGTTAGAAGACGTTAATCCTCCGGTCGATAAATCAAAATAATCTTTCCGTCGTATATGTGTTGTTCGGTGCAGTTATTAAAGTCGTACGAAGGCGTGTTGTGACTGTGACGGTTGGTTTTATTTTCCTCTTTGATCAGCTGTGATCAAGAGCCGCTCGTGCCTCTTCTCTCCGCAATCTCCCATCATCCCTTTCTCTCTCAGCCGCTGTCTGCCCCTGCTCTAACTGTTACCATTTAGGGTATCCATGTCTGACTGCCAACAGCAAGGAATGTTTGAGTGTGCCTGATAGTGTGTGTGTTGTGTGTGTGTGTGTGTGTGTTTTCTTAGCATGTGTCATGTGTTTGTCTCCCTGCCATGTGTTTGTGGGTGAAGTATTGTTTCTCCTACGCACTCGAATGCATCGTTATAGTATTTTCTAGGGTAATAATGTACACTTGCTGCTCAGGCGGGCCGCCTCCATAACAGCTGGTCTTTTGTGAGAGCATTGAGGTGTGTGGGTGTCGGTGTGTCAAAGGTGGTTTGTGTGCAGAGGCGTATGTGAGTGTGTGAGACACTCACCATTGTACAACACTCTGAGCATGGAGGCATTTGACCCCTTAATAATAGATGTGGCTGCAGTGAAAGTTTAATGAGTGGGGGTGTAGATGCATGCTCATTTACTCAAGGGAAATACAAATATAATATCTCTGCCTTTATGACTTCTAGATGGAAACTCTCTAGAAGGGAAATTCTCTGCGTGTTTGGGTGATGTGCGTGGATAGAGATACTGAGTAATTTGGCCAGCCTGATACTGTACATGTTATCTGCTGCTTCTTTATCTCCACCCCTCACTGTTTTCTCTCTCATTCCAAACAGGGCTCTCAGGATAGTGCTGGTGGTCAGGAGGGACTCGTACCCCCACCTTTCGCTGCCTTTCCTCCACCTCCTCCGCCGCCTCCTCAGAACGGCCTGGCGCTAGATTACGGGGGCAGCCTGTACACAGCAGGGGCCGTGCAAGGTCCTGTGGAGGCCAGCGGAGCAGCTAACAGTGCAGCCAACGCTGCCAACAGCCTCAGTGTCCAAGTGAGTACCAGACTCTGTCCTTACATGCAGCACATATCAATTAGTCTGCAGTAGATAAACTTAAAAAATCAAAACAAAACAAAGGATAAACATGTTAGACATTTCACATCAATGATTGAAAGTAGACAGTCAGAGAGAACAGAGAGGACCACACGGAGCCACAGGACTAAATAATTCATCAATATGGAATTGAAAATGCTATTTGAAACAGTGTTGTTAGCAAACAACAAAGCATTTTAGGAACTGGTTGCAGTTGTGATGATGTTGAATGTTGTTGGTTTCATTAATGAGGAATAATAAGCCATTTACACATCATATGTATGTTAATATATATTTATATATGTATGTATATATGTGTATATGTGTGTGTGTGTATATATATATACACATATATTCACAAATAAATAACATATTTGTCGCACGTGCATTTGTATAGTTTGACAATGCATAAACCACAACGCTGTCATAGTATAACAATAGGTGATATCATTATATGTCACTCTTCTGTGCTGTTTAAATGTGGAACATGCTGTTGTCATTCAGTTGAGGCTCCACCTGCTGGCAAAGTATCGATAAGAGTACAGCTTTAAAAGCAAAAGTAAAAAAAGTCCTTCTGTGTTGGAGGAGGTTCAAGCTCATTCAAACACTGCGACCAAATCAAAACAGAAAGAAAAAAAACATCCTCCTTTTTTTCATACAACAAACACAAACAAAATACGAGCTGATCCTGTGTTTTTATTCAAATTAAAAACATGAGTGCTAACGTATCATAACCAGAAAACTGAAATACGTGTTCGTACTTCCACTGTTGGCACACAAATACACCCTGTTAAAATATGGAAAATCAAGCACTTTTTTATGGACGAGCTAATTACAAAAACCAGATCTCGTCTAGTAGCAGGACGCCATGAGGCAATGAGCTGCAAGGTGGGACACACAAACACACACCGAAACACACGGACCGCAACGTCTTCACGTCCCAAGTTGTCTGGGTGAAATGAAAAATGAATCTGCAGCGATCAATAAAATCAGCACCGGTCTCATTTAAACAGAAGTGGAGAAAATCTACAGAAAATACTCATGATGATGCAGATTTCTTCATCTTCATCTCCTCTGTGTCTCTGCCCAGCAGTCGGACGGCTCATCTCAGATTGACGGACAGTCAGGGGTGGGCTCAGGAGGTGGAGGTGGTGGTGCTGGAGGTCTCGGAGATGATTCCGACTCTAAACTGACTCCCAAACGGCTGCACGTGTCCAACATCCCCTTCCGCTTCAGAGACCCTGACTTACGACAGATGTTTGGGGTTCGTACATTGGAATCATTTTTATTTTATTTTTTTTTTGTCCACCATTTGAAACATTCCGAGTTGTGCTTGAAATAACGTCCCTTCAAACGACCTAGTGCTTTAACTTTGTTATAATATTATATCATTTTCCATATGCTTATTTACAGTAAGCTCTCGTAACAGTTTCAGTTTAATGAAGTCATAGTTTCCTGTCAGTGTTTTTAGACCAGATTTCTCACGTGTTCCTCTGTCTGCTGTTATGTAACAGTGATTTCACCAAAATGTGGTGCATTTAAAATGAGGGGACGCACAAGAAATGCAGAGGAAAAAAAACGTCTCAGCGTCGCCATAGTTGAACATTGCTGCCATCCTGTGGCAGCAGCACGGCACAGCACAGGTCTCTAAGGCTGTTTATGTTTTTTTTTCTTCTTACGTTTCAGCAATTTGGAAAAATCCTTGACGTGGAGATCATTTTCAACGAGAGGGGATCCAAGGTAAGCTGCTGGGAAAGGAATTGAATTTTTCAAACCAAAGATAAAGATTTCATCCCTGCAGTATTCTGATGATTGTTCTTCATCCCATTTCTATTTTTCCTGCTCGCAGGGCTTTGGTTTTGTAACATTCGAATCAAGTGCAGATGCAGAAAGGGCTAGAGAGAAGCTGCACGGCACACTGGTGGAAGGCCGTAAAATTGAGGTAACCCCGCCCCTCCCCCCCAACCTCCTCTGAAACAGTGAACATTTTTCCTCTGTTTTCCCTTCCATGTTAAATAAAGTGAATGAGTTTGTTCCGGTCGCTTCTGCCCCGTAGATGGGTTTTCCAATGGCTGTATGTTGTTGTGGGCTCTCAACCCTCTGGCTTCACTCTAGCATGGTGCGGTGGTGCAGTGCACACAGACATCTTTTTGGCAGCACTTCCTGTCAATGCCTTTGCTTGTGTTTGTTACCGTTGTTGATACTGCAGGCCGTCCATTGCACCTTGATCGGAAAGCTCTGTGGTTTGCAAAGCATGCTGGGTGGAGTGGCTACACAAACAGGCATGGCGGCTTAAAAAACCTCACTGACACTGGTTGTAGACTCAGACGCGCTACTGCGGCAGCATGTAGGATCTCACAGTTACTTTTGATTTCCTGCATCTCCTCCATCACCATCATCACTTCTTCCATGATCACGATGAGTGGCTTCTCTCACTTAATGGTTTCCTTTATGACTGGAAGGGCAGTTTAATGGCCTCTCAGTTACTGTTCTCCACACTGTGCTTGCCTCTATGATGATATTGATATGTTGCATGAATGGATCATCAGATTAGAAGTCGTCTCTTGGAGTTTGTTTTTCTTTTCCCTCTCTCATCCTAAGTTAAACGGGTGATTCTTGGTTGCGGTATATTTTCTTTGTTGTTCGGAGACTGATGCATGACCAGGGTGTTTACAGGGGCAGTTTTTTTTTTTTTTGGGAATGACACCTGCGAGAAATGTGCCGTCATTTCCGATTGCTTCAAAAAGCTGTTTTCAGACATGTGACGATGGATGGTTAAAAAGTGAATGTTTTGAAGAACATGCTTGTATCCAGCACTCCTGAAAAACAAAAAAAAACAACACCAGATCTTGTGGGACTGCATTTTGTTGTGACATTTTTTATTTTATTTTGTCAGCATGAGCTTGGGTTTCAGTCGCAAAACGGTCTCCCAAAATCAGAAACACATGCAATCAAGCCGTTTGATCGAGCTCTTGATTTCAAAGGTCCAGAGTGTAACAAATAGTGACATCAGTCAACCTCAGAGGGAGAGCGCTGCGCTCACCTCACCATCAGAGGTGGTTCCCTCATCGACCGTGATGATGTTTTTTCTTTCAAATAAATCAGACTAAAGTAGTAATTCCATGCACGTGCATCACTTTGTTGCTTCAAAGTGGTGCTCCTAATACTGATGTGCTCATTGTTGACCTAAAAAACATTTTTTACACACACTTGCAACATTTACAAAAATAACCTTCCACGTACTCCATAACTCAGCAGGTCCTAATTTCTTCACTCTGTGTCTGAAATCTCCACCAGATTAAACTGTTCTCCTTCATTTCGGGAGCCGCCGTCGCACACACGTTAGGCTTCGTGGTCAATCTGGTACGGGGAGAGTTGAGCATATTTAATCTGTCCTTTGCACATAAGGCTGGTGTCAGTCTGTACCATAAACCTGATTTGTTCTGCACCTGTGCGACAGTGCAGCTGTTTACACTGGTACAGCCAGTGACAAATTCACAGTTTATGTGCACTGGAGCAGGCGGAAACAGTTTGTACCTAGAAGACTGTCATCTAGTAAAATCTGCTTAATGATGTTTCTTTTAAATTACAATCTGAAAGGAAGGAAAGAAAAGGTGTTTAGAGCCCTGTTAATGTCAGGAGAACGACGCTGCTACACATAATGCTAAAGTGTAATTATCATTAAATGCATTATTTGGCAGTAACTAATGCATAACTAATGTGTTTCATAATAAATGTTATGTTTAGTGATAAGAGCTTTGCCTTTGGATATAAACAACAGGAAGTAGGTGGACGACTGAACACGCCCAGATTATCATCAAATCAAAAACAGTACAGAACAACAATCCAATACGATGATACTCGTCACTTTTTTTATTTTTTACTACTAAACCGTACTGAAATGTTACACACTGGACTTTTGAATCCCGCTTCTTCTTTAACTGCTTCTCAAGCTCTCGTGCATGGTCTTGAATATCCTGCACCTTTCTCTGTCCCTGTGTGTGGGTGTGCAGAAGTTTAAAAAAAAAACATGGAGGGTGAAGAGAGAATGAACAAATCAAGAGAACTCCACAGATAGCTGTCCTCCCTTCTCCTGACCTTCCATTTGATATATACCTATATATATATATTTGTCCTCCCGCCATCTCTCTCTGCTCTCTCTCACCAGGCCAGTCTGTCTGTCTGTGTCTGTCTGTCTGTCTGTCTGTGTCTGTCTGTCTGTCTGTCTGTCTCCCCATCTGAGCCTGCCTCCTGTCTGTCCCTCCCTTCATATCTCTGTCCATTCCCAGTCATGTGATTCAGTCAGAAAGTCTTAAGACCTCAAGAGAATTAACAGAAAACCCCAGTGTTTTGTGGAATATATATTTTTTATTATCCTAAAATCTCAGTTTTAAACTAAGCTTTAGATTCAGTTCTGACATTTTATCCTTTGTTTTTCACTCTAGGCCGTAGCTGTAGATCAGTTTGTGTAGAGGGTTTAAACTGTGGAGGTTAGTTCGTTGTCCAATGGCTGATGCGTGTACTTGACTGTTGACACGTGACCTGTGACATCACTTCCTCTCTGCCACAGGGTGGGGGTTCATTACCTCATTTTTTTGTTTGTATTCAGTTTTTTGTTTTTGTTTCTTTTTTTGTTCATCATTTCTTTCTTACATATATTTTCTCTATTTCCCTGATGATTTTTGTATGTTGTTGTTGTTGTTGTTGTCAGTCTCCACGATAACTGCTCGCGTGTCCTCACGCCGTTTCCCTGGCAACGGTAAGTTGTGTACACATGGCATCACCTTTGAATGACCCCTCCCCCCACCCTTTCGTCCAAATGAAATAATAAAATTGCACCCAACACCCAAATGAAAGACTCCTGTAGTGAAGGAGGGCCTGATTGGTTGATTGATTGGCTGGAAATAAGCTGATTGGCTAATCCTGTGATTGATTGATTGATTGATCGATTGATTGATTGGGGAGGTGGTGAATGAAACAATTAAGAGATTAGCCATTGACCGCATGGCAGTGTAAAGGCCACCTGTGTAACTGAATGTACTGCATCTATATCTGCAAGTGCGACAACTTTGACTTCCACTTCTTATGCATTCATTCCAATCAACTCTAACTGCATTCAGCATTTAATTCCAGAGCTGTATCCTGCATGATTTACTCTCTTTCTCGTCATCTGTATGACGTCATACTACAGAACTGTGTCATCTCTGTGTCATGTGTCAGCCAATAGCTGCATTTCTTTTGCACCTTAGTGGGACGGCATGCAGAAGCATGAGTGCAATGTTAGTCTTATACTGGACACAGGAACCTAGTTGTCTGTGTAACGTGTAGTGCTGTATCGCTTGACTATTCGCACCACGTAGCCTGCAGCTAGTTGTACAAGTATCACTGTTACTGTAGTAATAGAGTCGGCATTCGACGCAAATACTAGTGAGTGAGTGATGTGTGTTTTGCCCGTGGGTCACGGTGTAGATCAGAGTCTGGTCGAAGGATAGAGAATGTTAATGTTAATAATGAAGTGTTAGAGTCAGAGTGTGACGTGTGATTCTGACTTCCTTCCTTCAGACGTCTGTCTCTTCTGCTGCTTCACATATGGAGCATAAAATGGACGGATTATTGAGTCCGTTTCCACATCGATCGTCCTCATTCCATTCAAACATGCACTGAAAACACATCTTCCCTGCATTAGCTGCAGTGCAAAGCTGCGTCNCCTCCTCCTCCCCCCAACACACTGCGGCATGTGAGGGGCCGCTCGATGCTGCTGCAGCTTTAGGTGTAATGCTGATGATTTTGTTTTTTGCGTTTACTACCATCATTTGATAAATTAAACACGTCGCAGAGACATGAGCCTTTAAAATACTTGATGTTTAAACATTTTCTAAAAAAAAAAAAATGTTTTTGATGCTTTGTGCATTAAGAAAAACAACAAATGCAGCTACGGAATGTGATTAATAGGACTGACGTATGGACTACGGTGCTGCTCATAAATTGCAGTACTCTTTCTAGTACATACACAGGCACCCAGGGACTGTTACAGAGCAGTGACCACAGACTCGGTCACATCTCTTCCAGAACAAAATTACTGTCTTCTCCTGCTCCAGGGATTTTGGAAAAAAAAATACTGTCAGGTTGGTTTTTCACAGCTGAGAAATCCGGTGTTAGGTTTATAACACCTTTAGTAGTTTCTTTTTGTAGTTCACGATCTTAACCCTGCCCTGGCCCTGGGTTTATTACCGTCAGCGTTAAATAATGAAGTTGGTATCGCCAACAACTGGGATTTTTCTGCCCAGAATAAGGACAGTTTCTCATCACAGTAATTCAGCGGTGCGTCTCGTCCAGCGCCCGTCCCCTGCACTGTCGTCAACAGACACCACTGACGACACAGTTGGCTCTCACCGCCGTCCCGAGATACAGAAACCCTTTCTCCGTTCTCCTCAGACCGCAGCCTGTTCCACTTCAAGAACATTCACTCTTCAGTTTTATTTGCACTCGTTTTCAAATTAAAAAATGACAATAATTTAGACCAAAACAAACTCGGCCCCAGCTGAAGTACAGTAGGATCCTGTACTTTTAATCTCCTCAGTTGTGTGTGTGTGTGTGTGTGTGTGTGTGTGTGATGTGTGTGTGTGTGTGTGTGTGGTTGTGTGCCTTGAGGATTTTCTGGTGTGTGACACTGATCCATGCTGCCTGGTTGGTTGTGTTCCACAATCATGGTTTGATATGTGCATCCCTCCATCCTCTGGCCTTGATCCACACTCTTTGTTTCTGTGTCAGACTTCGCCTCATGGTCGCTCACCAACAGTCAGAGCAGATATGAGCAGAGGTTCAGGTGGATCTGTGTGTGTCTGTGTGTGTGTGTGTGTGTGTGTGTGTGTGTGAACTGCATCGTGTTTCTGTTTGTGAGAGGAATTTCACATTTGGATGAACTGTTCACTCTCGCTGTCTCCTTCTTCCTCACGTCATGTACGTGTTTTATCTATGTCTTTTCATGTGGACTGGCTCCTCCTCCTCCTCTTCCTCCTCCTCCTCCTCCTCCTCCTCCTCCTGCATCCCTTCATATTTCTGTCTTTTCTCTCATTTGTGTCACTCCCTGCCCGCCTTTCTCTTTTCTGAAGATTTGCATTTGATTCTGGAGGCTGTCGGCCTTTTTTGATTGGTCTCTTGCTGCATCTGATGCTTGCTGATTGGCTGGTTTTGCTCACCTCTGGTGATGTGACGTGCTCTTGATTGGCTGTGCATAATTATTTTTGAAATAACTGGTTGATTGATGTTTTCCTGCATTGTGTTGAACTGATGATTCTACTGCTTAATTCACACTTTTCTCTCCTTTTTTTTAAAAAAAAAAAAGGTTAGCAAAAAAAAACTATTGATTTGATTTCTTTTCGTGTGCCTTCGTTTTGAAATGTTTAGTCGTTTGATTTCAGTTCTGTGTCGATGGTTGCACTTGTTTGTCTGCTAAACTGCCTGATAACTGACAAGGATCCTTGGTTTCAGTGTCTTTCTCCTTTCCTCCACTAGAGGCGCATGCATCAATGCCATCGCTGCTCATCTACAAAATTAACCTTTTGTCACAACTGAAAGTGTAAAAATGTATGAGAAGTCTTGTTATATATATATATATATAACATAATATATTTTAAAAGTGATAACGTGTCCATACTGGTTTCTGATTGGTGGAGTCTGATCACGTGTGTCTGATGTCCAGGTGAACAACGCCACAGCCAGAGTGATGACGAACAAGAAGATGACCACACCGTTCTCTAACGGAGAAGGACTGGCTGCACTTCCTTATGGTAAAACTTTTTATTTATGACCAGTCCTTTTAGTGTCTGTTCTGCACGGACTAAAAAAAACACACACTGAATTAGTCATGCAGTGCATTAACACACCAGCCCCTCAGACACATTATTACAGTGCAGTACTTAAGATCTCAGATCATAGAGAAGTGAGCTTCCCTCTGTGGTCTCTGTCTGTGGTTGTCAGACGATGACTTTACACTTCTACCTCCAGTTTTCCTCTTATTTTGGAGTTAAAATGTCCGTCTGTATTATTCACGGTCATTATTTAGTTTCAGGTGTCCTTCAGAAAGTGACGTCCAATTATTTTGATGTCTTTGAACTCTGTCACATTCAAGCTCGTTATAAATTCATTCAGGATGACGTCATCTCTCACTGAGCTGTGACATTTTATTCTGTTTCTGTAAAGTTATATCTACAGTATCTGTAACATAATGTACTTTGAATTTTGTGTTTTTTTCTTGACTGTTCAGTTGATTTTATTCCAACACTGTGAAGCACTGTGGTCACCTTCAAGTGGATTTATCAATAAATCTGGATCAATTTATTCAATACATTGACAGGAAAACAGAGAAACAGGATTGGCCGGTGAATAGATATATATGTGTATATATATGTATATATACAGTATATATCTCTCTCTCTCTCTATATATATATATATATATATATATACATATACATACACATATATACATATACAGTATATATAAATATATACTGTATATATATTTATGTATATATATATATATAATTTTCATTGTCTCGTTTCCTCTAAATTAAACTGTAATTCACAAAATTGCCTTTGTACTTTTAACAGTATTCTTATCAAACATATAAAGTACTCACCGTGTAGTACTTTCTTCCAGAGGCACGTGCTGCCTCCATCATCTTATAATACTTTGTGTCAGATCCAAAGAGCCATAAAAGCTGGTAGAGTAAGACGACACTGCGACCATAAATATTTAACAGCAGACCAATCAATACACAGTTCCCTGACATTGATTTGTCTTTGCCTCCACTGAGTGAAGACTCCCTCTAATGTGTGCTGCGCAGACACTCCAGAACTTTCCCACCGTCTGCTCTGACACAGAGCGGCACAATTCATTTAAAATTCCATTTGCCTCGGTGACTCTCCTTTGAAGCGCTGCCTCAGACATATGTTTCATTTGTCTTCCCACAGCTGGCTGGAAGTTGAGTCCTATGGTCGGAGCGATGTACAGCCCTGAGCTTTACACAGGTAAGACGGCGTCTTTGATCTCCGTCCACAGAACTACAGAGTCTCTTGTCTTTCCTCACGTCTCTGTCCCTCGTTCAGTCCCAGGGTTCCCGTACCCGGCAGCTGCGGCCGCCGCCGCCGCCTCCACGGCTGCCACCTTTCGAGGCGCTCACCTCCGAGGTCGAGCTCGGCCCGTCTACAGCGCAGTCAGAGCAGCTGTGCCGCAGCCCGCCATCCCGACATACCCTGGGTAAACACACACACACACACACACACACACACACACACACACAGCATGTTCAGAAACTTTGGGGGAAAAACAAATCCTCATGATTGTGCATGCCGTGTGTTTGAACAGTTTTTATTGAGATGATGACTCTGATTGGCTGCTGAGCTGAAATACCATTTCCTTGTACCTAAACTAGTTGGTAATAGTAGTATTTGAGTAGTATAACTACAGGGGTAAACCCTATGACAATAGAACTTTCAAACTGTTGTTGTTGTTGTTGTACTACGCCCCGACAGTTGAAGTATCCGTAGTATCACTATGAATCCAGTACATTGTAATACTACAATGAGGTGGTATTTTGTCTTGCATGTTGCACGGTGTGTAATAATCTCACACTTCTTTCTCTTCTCTCTTTTCACAATCTGTTTGGCACTGTCTTCTCACCTCCTCCTGTCTGCTGTTCTCTCAAATGCCCACAACGTGGCGCATTACACGCTTTTTTTTTCTTTTCTTTTTTCTTTCCCCCCACTATTTTTTTTGTTTTGTTTGAAAATCCTCCCGCTGCTCCTTGTACTTCCCCACCTTTCTTTTCTTTTCTTCTATTTTTTTTCCGTTCCTTCCTCTTCCTCTTCCTCTTCGTCCTCTTCTCTCTCTCAGCGTGATGGCCTATCAGGATGGTTTTTACAGCGCGGCCGATCTCTATGTAAGTATGCCACCGTGTGCTCTCTCTGCTGTCTCACTCCCTCCCTCCCCCCCCCCCCCCAGGCCCTGCCTGTGGATTTTAAGAGTGTGAAGCAGCACAGACAGAAACCGAGTGTTTGATTCAGTCCGTCAGGAGAGACACTCGATGTTCTGAGTCCACACTTATACAACTCACCAGTTTCCCTTCCACCGTGTGTGTGTGTGTGTGTGTTTCATCCATCTTATACACACAAAAAACACACACACACACATACATATACACACAACAACACACACCTTGATGCCTCCGTTCAGCAGTAGACTCCTGTGGGGTTTGTCTCTGTGCTTTAGTGACGTAGTGTGAAATCATGTGATTATCAGCAAGTGTGTGTGTGTGTGTGTGTGTGTGTGTGTGTGTGTGCGACCAGGTTGACAATAGTTGTTTTTGTTCTCTCTGTAGACTAGTGTTTCAGGACATTAGTGGCAGATTGCCTCAGGTAGGGTCTCCACACTCTGTGTGACAGCCAGTGTGCATCCTCCTCGTCTCCAATGACTGCGTGCTGCTAGACATTGACCATCTGAGATTGAAATGCCTTCTCTGTCTTCTACTAACTCACTGGATTCTGACATGGGTGGAGTTGCGGAAGGGGGAGAACAAAAAAAAAAGCTACACTTTCGAGTCACTGAGTGAGAAGTGACCAAAATAAGACGATAATCAAGAAAAATCAAATAAAGGAGAAGTGAGTTTCTATTGTTGACGGAGAATCAGATGCAGAGAAGGTCAGAAGTTGATCACTTTATATCTGTAATGACACTTGGTTTTTAAATCAATTCCTGTCCATATATGTTAATGAGTTTCAGCTTAAAATCTTAGGTATAGTAGGAAAAACTTCAAATATATATAAATTATATAATCAATGAAATTCTTCATTAAAGTAAAAACGATTGATGTTGGGGTAAAAAAAAAAAAAAAAAAAAGGCAGCCACCGTCCCAGTCATGGCTGGACATTTTGTCACCACATGAACCAGCAGCAGCTTCACTGTAGCCACGACCAGAGACATGAATAAAGAAAGTGAGTGAAGAATCCCAGCCGTCAGTGAGATGAAGGATGAGAATATTCATTTTATCACTTCATTCAGACCCCTTCCAGGAATCTCCCTATCTGTTTCACCTGTGGCATGCTAACTGAATCAGTGTCAGCATGCAGACATACTTACAAGGCTGGCTCCTCCCCACAGCCCCCCACCCTCCTCCCCCACAACCTCACCCTTTTTTCCACTCTCTCTCCTTCTCCTGATTCGTTTCTCTCCTCCACTTCGTTCTTCTTCTTCTTTTTCTTCCCAATTTTATTTCTTTACCAACTCCAGCTTTGCCCTTTGACCTCTACTTCTTCTGGTCCATTTAACCAAAGACCCCAGGTGTTCCTGACTGATTAAGGCCTCATTCTTACTAATAATGTCATTATGTTTAAATATTGGAAGATCCAAAGTCAACAATGTTTGTATTTGTAGTCACTGATGTTCAGACTGGACACTGAAAATAAACTGTGTGACAAAAGTCATCATCCTCTGACTGAATTAGTCAAAATAAATGTTTAAATTGTTTGAATTGTAGACATTATTTAATATTTAAATAGATCATTTTCTAATGCTTAAAAAATTGACTAGACTTGGTTTAAAAATCCTAATTGGACTTTTAAGACAATCAAATGAAAAAACTCAGTTTTATTGAACATTATTATAATCTGTTCATCATTATTTATCATAACAATATTCACTGGGGTCAAACAACGACCAGCTCTGATCTTCCTGGTCTTTCCATCTCCTCAAAATTCTTCTTCCAGCTTTCCTACCATAGCAGCAACTGTGTGGTCCTGAATGTGGGGACGTGGTCACCACTGATTCTTTAGGGTAGAATGTGGCGGTGTGTGTTTGTTTGTTTGTTTGTTTGTTTTTTGCATTTTTATAGGAGTGTTTGGTCTAATACACTGTATGTTCAGAGTTTGGGAAAGCATGCTGCGTCTGTCAGTGATTGGTCACTGGCCGTGCGAGTATTAGTGTGTGTGTGTGTGTGTGTGTGTTCTCTCTCTGTTTGTGTGTGTGTGTGTGTGTGTTAGTCTGACTGACTTTCTCCTCACACCTGTAGTTTTGTGTGTGGTCATTAGCCGTCCATCCAATCATAATTATTGACACGATCATCCTGCTGCCCCCTCCCCCGTCTTTAACTGTGTGTTTTTGGTTGGGGAAACAGGGCGGGGCACAGTTCCAGGTGTGACGTCTCTCTTCCTTCACGTCCAATGAAGAACCACAAAACACAGAGGCACTGGTGTCAGGATGGGAAGAAAAAAAACAGACTTAAATCCCATTGAAAAGTGTATTCTTGTGTTGGTCCTGGAGGAAGAGAGAGCCGGAGTCTGAGCTTCACCCCCGTGAATGCTGAACTGCACCAGATTAGACAGTTTTTGCTGACTGCTTGTTAATCTTTGCCTTTCTTCTCAGCGTTTGTTCTTACAACATAACCCTTTAGACTCACCCCCTGTCTGTTAGTCTGCAGAGGAGAAAAGAAAAAAAGGCTAAATATGAATCTGCTCCTCTTTTCACCTCTGTTCATCGTATCTCCACTCTGTTGCACACGATGACCCTCCCTCCTTCCTCCTCCTCTTTCCTCCTCATTGAATCCTCACAGGGTGGATATGCTGCGTATCGTTATGCACAACCCGCTGCGGTAGCGACACCTGCAGCAGCTGCTGCAGCAGCAGCCTACAGTGACAGGTGAGTTCTGTCCTCACACTCGTCTCCGTCCGCGTCAGTGGAAGAAAGCCGACACGGTGGTGGCCAAAAAATATATATATATATTTTAATATATTTAAAAATAAATTTTCCTTTGTTAATTTTGATGACGTTTTGGCTCTTTGTTTACAGTTATGGCCGAGTTTACACAGCAGATCCCTACCACGCTGCACTCACCCCGGCTGCCTACGGTGTGGGGGCCATGGTAGGTGCAAGAATTCCTTTAACATTCCAGGCTGATGATGCGTTTCTGAACAAAGTTGTTCTGCAGTGTTTTTACAGATATAAACGAACTGAGAGAGTCAGTGTTGCTGATGTCTGTTCAGAAGAGCAAATATAAAAATACATTTATTTAAAAATGTATAAAACATCGACCAATTTCAATTAAAAGCCACACGGTTGATTTGTCATATATTATTTTTAAATGTATATTTTAATTCATGATGGAGGGACACCAGATGGGTGTCCAGAGGGACAGATGTGGCCCGGGGGCTGTTCAGTGGTCCGGTCTGGTGTAAGTAATGATGTGATGAAGTCTCTGATCTGAGGGACGGAGACAGTTGAGCAAATGATCAAATGAAAAACCCTCTGTGAACGACAACCTTCTGTGTCAACACAAGGATTTTACTACAAAAAAAAATCAGTGGTAGTTGTTAGAAAACGGTCTGATTGTGATAAAACTGCTTCTTTCATAGTGACAAAATTACACAATGTATTTTCTCTACTGTGGGTTTAAAAAAGTACTGACTATTTGAGTATTATTTTAGCACTGCAGTATTTCTGCATGTATTAACGTATATATTTGCAGTACTCACTGTCTGTTGTCTTTCCACAGGCCACACTGTACAGGGGCGGCTACAGTAGATTTGCCCCATACTGAGGACACTACCATTTCCCCGGAGCTCCGTCCCATCCCTGAAAATCCTCTAACAGAAGAGCTCCCTCTGCTGTCATGGAGGTGAACTGCACCAAGTTTGAAAAGTGTGGATTCCACCACAGCAAAGAAAATTCTGTTCCCACCCCCAGAGTAGTCCCCGTGTTTCCCTATATATGCTACCACAGAAATAGAGGAATGCTGTATTAAAGACTGACGGAAGGCCTGTACAATAAAAAAAAAAGGAAAATAGAAAAGAAAATAGACTCTAAACGGCCACCTTCCCTGTTGCACGGCTGTATTATAGTCCCCTACTTTCCCTCTGCAGCACAAGCCTGGAGACGGAGCCCAGACGTTCTTCCAAACGTGTGTGTGTGTGTGTGCGTGTGTGTGTGAATAAGTGACATTTAAACAGCTGTCGGGAAAGAGATGAGTGCTGCGTGGCCTGCGAACACTCCACATGGGAGGGAGCGGGAGGAGGGAGGGGAGTCGCAGAGAGAGGGAAAGTTGAGTTGAATCCGTCTGCAAAACAGAGATGGGAAAGAGAAGCGGAAAGAAGGAGTCACTACAATAATCAAAAACACAAACACAGACAGAGAGGTGAAGATTTTCATTCCAGTCATTTCTGATAGAGAGACTGAACACGGTGGATTTCAGAGATCATGTGATCACTTTTTAACGCTACAGGAAAACAGGTGGGGAAGTCAGAAGAAGGGAGGGTTTTTAGAGACGTTCCTTACCTCAAGATTTGTTAGTATGTGGAAATGGTGAACCTTTAAACTTAAAAATGATTATGATATGCAATTAGTTTAGAAAAAAAAGTTACCAAATTAATTATTATTATTATTATTATGATTAAGAAGTCATTATTTTTTCTTGACTCAGTTTCTCAGCAGTTGTAGTTCAGACAGTGAAGTCAGAAGACAAAGTCCTACTCCACCTTCAAAACACAACATTTCACTCTCTCAGAATCACCACTGAAATCACACTACAGAAAGTATAACACTATGCTGAAATACTTTAAAAAAAAGAAAAAACTTTTCTATTTAGTTCTATTCAGTTGATTGGATCTGGACCTGGTCCTCGACGCCGAGGTTCCTGCGTCACCTGATCACGTAGGCATGTCTTATTTTGACTTTGTTTCCCTCCGCACTCCGTCTTTTCTAGAGCAAAGTCCAATATTGAGTCTTCCTGAAACAAACGTCAGTGGGTCAGTGTGTCCGCAGTGCTGCCAACAGCAATCACTGAGCAACAGATACAGAGAGACGAGAGTTTCTGTCGGTGAGATCGACGAACGATTTTTTAAAAATGCAAAACACCTTACTGTTGTGCATATTTCTATAGAGTTGTATTTGCAAAAAGTGGCTCTTTTTTGGCTTTTGTTTTTTCGTTCCAAAGATTTGTAGGAAGCACATTTTTCTGCCGTATGTATAAATATATATATATATATATAATCTTTAAATCTTTGCTATGACCATAATCCTTGATAATTGTATCGATGTCTGTGTTTGCTTTCAACTTCTGTTCCTTTTCCAAAAATCTCTACATGTTCTTCGGTTCTTGTTCTCGAGGTTCTGGGCCTCGGGGGCCGAGACGTCCCCGGGGGGCGTGCACGTGACACTAGCGTTCATTTTTCCTCTCAGATAGAATTTCAGGCAAACCAGACAGCTGTTTGGTTTTTTTTTGTTTGTTTTTGGTTGAAAATAGGATGTGCTGGCGTGACTTTTTTTATTGTATTTCAAAATATGCAGGAAAGGCTGGAATTTCTTTTTTGTTCCATGTCGATATTTTCCAGGTGACTGAGATGTTGGGAAGAAACAGGCCTGTAGCACTTTGGTTCAAGCCAACTGTGTTCTTTTTCTTCTTTATTTTTTTTAAATGCTTAAATTTGTGTGTGTGTGTGTGTGAAGCAAACTCCTTACATTTCAGTGGTGAAATCTGTCAGTTTGGCCGTCGAGGTCTCTCCAGGTCGACGACAAGAAAAACAGACGTCTAAAAAGTGTTATTTAAATCCCAGGCAGGTTAAAGGAGTAGTTTGGAGTTCAGTGGCATTAAAGGTTCACTCTGCAAACAGCTCCACCACATGTCCGTTAGCCCGCGGAGCTCAATGCAAAGAGCCTTTTGTTTGTTTGTTTTTTACAGCTAGTGTCTGTTCTGTCCATCATAGACTCCTGTTGATATAAATAATCTACTCCTTATACCGATAATAAAGAATTTTCTAAAAGGTGACAAAAAAAAAACAATTAAATAACATTGCATTCTACATCTCTGCCTGTTGATGTCACTAAAACCTACAAGCTGGTTCATCAATATTCCAAAAAAGAAAAAGTACAAAATAAAACAGATTTGTTTTCACACTTTGACAAAAACCTACAGGTCATGGAGATGCTTTTTATATCCAATGTGCTGCTGTTGGTTTTTCCTCTTCAGATGTAACATTTCTTTAAGAAAAAAAAATCTCCATATCATTGCAGATGGACAAAATGGGGGAAAAAGAAAATATAGCCAAAGATGCTAACTATCAGTCCCTAAAGCATGTTCTGGTTCCCAACCTTAGAAGAAGAAAAAAAAGTAACCCATAGATGGACTTTTGGAGCCTCTGGACACAGATAACCAGCATGAGTGAATCTTGTCAAGTTAAAAAAAAAGTTTTGCATGAATCTTGTCTTTCATATTTGACCAATGAGCAGCTGAGCACAGGCATGTTCGTCGAAGCCTACACTCTGTACAGAACGAGGGGCAGCTCCAGGTTTACAACAGAGTCCAGTGTTTGGAGACAAACACACAGCTGCTGCACAAACATCATTTTCCTGTCGTGGTTTTTACTGCCACCGTGTTGTAGTGAACTGTGGCCATTCTTCATAGTTATTATGGTTTCCATGACCAGTCCTGCTCCTACTTCATGTTGATATTCCCTTTGACTGCCATTGTTTTGTTTGGTTGAGTTTTTTTTTCTTTTTGTCAATGAATGTCCATGAAATGTTTTATATAAAAATGTTTTGTTGTGAGGAAGTTTCCAGACTCTTTACTTGTGACCCCTCCCCCCCCCCCCCCCCGACCCCACCTCCCC